GGTTGGAAGTAGCTTCCCAGGATGAATGGGAGTAACTGGGTGCGTTGGCATCAATGATGCGATTATCAAAAAACGCCACCCTGTTATCCTCCCACACACCCCGGGCAAGCCAATCTGCCCGAAGAGCAGGCTGCCCCGTCCGATCACCCTCCGGCACCATGATCGGCTCGACGACAACACCACCGAATGCCATATCAGCTAGCTTTGCATCGCTATCACGCAGATCATTGTGGACTCGCTTGATAAGTCCACCTTTCGGGCAGTCAAGGCCGTGCTGGAGAGAGAAAGGCTTCCCGCAACCCTCACATTGCGCTGGCAGGGCAAGCGGCTGCCGACCATAGCGGATAGCAAGTTGATCGCGGAATTCTGTACTCGACAGATCATACCCCTCGCGCTTCAGGGGCAACACCGTAAGCCATCCGGAGGCATTTCCCCGTACGATGCGGGAGAGGGTGCGCTCCTCGAGCTGTGGCAGGTCACTGAGAATTGATTGAAGTACATACACTGAGTACATACACTGAGTACATACACTGAGTACATACACTGAGTACACACACTGAGTACATACACTGACTACATACACTGAGTACACACACTGAGTACACACACTGAGTACATACACTGAGTACATACACTGAGTACACACACTGAGTACACACACTGAGTACACACACTGAGTACATACACTGACTACATACACTGAGTACATACACTGAGTACACACACTGAGTACACACACTGAGTACATACACTGAGTACATACACTGAGTACACACACTGAGTGAACACACTGAGTACATACACTGAGTACATACACTGAGTACACACACTGAGTACACACACTGGGTACACACACTGAGTACACACACTGAGTACACACACTGAGTACATACACTGAGTACACACACTGAGTACACACACTGAGTACTTACACTGAGTACATACACTGAGTACACACACTGAGTTTTTTTTGTTTTTTTTTAGTAGTAGTAAAAGCCTCTTTTACGGGCGAACAAAACACAATTTGCCATGGCGGAGGATTGAAAACAAATCACATAATGATGACGTCGCATGTGATCAGACAGCAAGAGAAGCATAGCATAGTCCGCACAATCACGGGGCAAGGCTCAACGGGACACCCTAGCCTCCACGACAGCCAGGGAGGCACAGCCATCCATTGGAGGCTGCCAAACTCGGCGAGCCCCACGCAGACACATGACACTCGAGCGCAGCAGGGCAGGTGGGCAATTAGCACAGAATACGCCTCCCTCCCACGTAGCGACTGGAGATGTGCAATCCGGCTCACCAGTGCAGCGGCACCCTTGCCGCATCCTCCGGTGGAAGAGAGCACAAAGGGGAGAAAAGTGGATCGCTCCACTTCTCGGACTCTCCAATCATATCGACGCCGTTCCTCTTGCTCATGGTGCCGGTAGCAGCCAGAGAGAGAGGAGGTGCGGTTCGAAGACGCATAAGGGTTGAACACCCGTATATCAATAAAAGTGCGTTCGAACCGACCCCCCCAAACTCCACTGGCCACCACATCCAAACGAGCTTGATCCTCGGTTGATGATGACCGGAGCTGAAACGGCTCCCCAGTCAGGGGTTGGAGATGTGGCTCCACTGCGACGTTGTGGGCGACACCCTTCAATGAGCTTGCCAGTATGTCGCGCACCTCGTTGTGGCGGATCGAGGGGAACCCACCGAAAGGACAGGACAAGGCGTGAGCAGTGGTGAATGCCTTCTCGCAAACACAGGTGGTGGGCAGGCGAGCAGGCGTCCAACCGTAACGGAGGCAGAGGCCATCCCGGAATTCCCCCTTCGACAAAGCGAAGCCGTGGCGAGCGATGGGTCGGCAGGTAAGCCAGCTTGATGCTCCCTTCTCCTCTGCCAGACTGATAGCGAGATCGAGTTCGCTGTGTTCGGTGCGGAACGTATCGGCAGCTATCTTCATTGCCTTTCTGGCCTCAGAGCGAGCCTGACTCTTGGCCCTGCGGACACAGGCAAGAGCATCATCGAGGTGCTCTTCTTGCGCCATGATCTTGTCGTACAGCGCAGTGGTGATTAGCCTGGAGGTGCCGTACTGTGAGCCAAAAGTGGCAGGGTTGGCCACGCCGAGGCCTCCATGCCGGCAGGGGAAAGTGAGCAAAATGCGTTCAGCTTCACTGGGCGCCGTCCGTCCACTAATGGCAGGGATTAGGCGGCGGTGGATGATGTCCTCCAGGGGTGCCAGCTGTTCTGCAGCACCATCGAGAACCCGACACAGGAAGGACCACCGGTGTTGGAGGCTGTTCACCAGTGCAGAGTAAGCTGCTTGAGGCTGTGACCGGGCGAAATCTGTCAGCTTGCACAGCTCCTGCGACCAGGTGGCCACCTTGGAAGCCACAAACTCCTGCACAAACTGATCAGTTCCGATGGCTGATCCAAGGTGACGGCACCCGTCAGTGGTGATAGACACACCCGTGCCGGCGAAGATGGTGTCGGCTGCCTCTAGCTTGTCCCGCTTGACGACGAGGACGGACTTGCTGGGGTTAATGAAATACCCGAACGCCGGCCCATCCCCGACGAGTCGGTCCCACCACTGGCGGAGAGGGTTGAGCCCGCCATCCGCGGACGAGTCATCCGCATACCAGCTCTGGCGTGTTCCTGGGCTTGCCACTCTGCGCACCAGGGGGAGTACCCCCAAAGCGTACATCGGCATAGCAAGAGGATCTCCCTGCGTTGTGCCTTCTCGCGATAGGAGGCACTCCCCGTCCACGAATAGGCGGGCCGGCTGACGGTAGCAGTTTACGATAGCGGATGTGATGGCTGGACAGAGGTGCGCTACGTTGCGCATACATGCTTCTCTGTTAAGGCGATTGAACGCATTGGATGCATCCGCCATAAGCACAGCGTCAACATCTTCTTCATGGAACGTGTCGTGCATGGCGTGAATGGCCGCCTCAATGCCACATTCCTGGCCTCCGCACATCTGCAGTGACCCTGTCGCCTCACGAACAGAGTCCCCCGCCACGCTCAGAATAGCCTTGCCGATGATACGACGGACGGTTTCACCGATGCCTATTGGGCGCACACCCGGTTTCTTATCTAGAGGGATAAGCCGGCATGCCGTGTAGGCTTCCATCGATGCTGGGTTGACGTACTGAGTGGCGATTCGCCGGGCACAGCTGGCGAGAGCATCACATAGGTCGTCTGAAATGTCCCCAAACGCTGTGCTGAGTACACACACTGAGTACACACACTGAGTACACACACTGAGTACACACGCTGAGTACACACACTGAGTACACACACTGAGTACATACACTGAGTACACACACTGAGTACACACACTGAGTACATACACTGAGTACATACACTGAGTACATACACTGAGTACACACACTGAGTACATACACTGAGTACACACACTGAGTACATACACTGAGTACACACACTGAGTACACACACTGAGTACACACACTGAGTACATACACTGAGTACATACACTGAGTACATACACTGAGTACACACACTGAGTACACACACTGAGTACATACACTGAGTACACACACTGAGTACACACACTGAGTACACACACTGAGTACACACACTGAGTACATACACTGAGTACATACACTGACTACATAGGTGCATATCTTCGCCGATGTCTCACAGGATGCCTAAGGAGCAGTAGCATACTGTACTATCGAGTGATGAACAGAGACGAGACAGTGTCATGCCGACCCATAATGTCAAGGAGCAGAGTCGCGCCAACCACCGCCACCAGCATTCCAAGATTGGAGTGGCTCGCCGCAGTAGCTGGTGTAGACCTAGTGAAACCAATCATCAAAGCACTCAGTCACTCCACATCAGTCGTCTTCTGGACCGACAGCCAGGACGTCCTACATTGGATACGTGGAGCAAGTCGAAAACTGAAGACCTTCGTGGGAAATCGTGTTGCGTACATTCAGGAATCCACCCATCCATCACAGTGGCGTTATGTACCCACTGCAGAAAATCCAGCAGATCATTAATTTTGACACGGGGACACTCAGCCAAATTCCTGGCACAACACTCGCAATGGTGGGAAGCACCGAGTTTCCTTCAGCTGATGGAGTCTGAGGGGCCGGCAACAGTTCTACCCGGGAAGAGCAGCACTGCAGTCGACCAAGAGACACGGAAGTCGACCAAATTCGATTCAGCAGCAATACGATGTGTGAAGAAACAGACTGACACTGAAACAGCTAAGCCAGCAGCTAATGCACAAGCCCAGTCAGTTGTGCTAGCAACGCAAAATTCAGCGGAGAACAACAGCAGTGGTTGGCGACTTGATCCCAGTCGTTACTCTAAATGGCTAGTATTGGTCCGACAGGCGGCATGGGTTATTCGTTTTGCGAACAATTGTCGCACTCCAGCAGCAGTGAGAGTTATGACTGGTCAAACAACGGACCCGGGGAAATAGTAGACGCTGAGAAGACAGTCATTAAAAGCTGCTAAAAATGGAAGCATTTCCAGCAGAGTACGAGTTAGTCCGGAAAGGAAAAGCGGTCCCAACAGGCAGCAAGTTGGCGGGTCTCTCCCCATTCCTGGACGAATTGGGCCTACAAAATACGCAATTCCTGTCGTATGATGCTCAACATCCAAAGATCATGGCTCGGAACGGACATGCCATGCAACTTCTAGTCCGACATTATCACGGGAAGGCAGGACAGAGCAGTGGCGTCAAGGAAACCATGACACAACTGCAGGAACGTTTCTGGGTTATAGCAGCAAGAGAGGTGATCCCGGCCACAAAGGTAGAGGCAGCCTGCAATTATTGTAAGCGAAAGAAAGCTAGGCCAGCAAAACAAGTGATGGCACCACTGCCGAAGAGCCGACTGTCAGAACCGTTGGAAGCCTTCGCAAGAACATCTGTTGACTACGCTGGCCCCTTCGAGACAAAGCAAGGTCGTGGTCAGCGTCGGGCTAAGCGGTATCTCTGTCTGTTCACGTGTATGACCAGTCGTGCAGTGCATCTAGAAATGGCTACTTCACTATCAACAGACTGCTTCCTGAACGCATTCGAGCGTTTCTGCAGCAGAAGAGGAGTGCCAACACATGTGCGGTCGGACAATGGTACGAATTTCGTCGGTGCACAGCGGGAACTACAAGAGTTGATCGACCAGTTTGACGAAGAGAAGATCGCTAAGAAAGCAGCCAACAATGGTATCCACTGGTCCTTCCATCCTCCACTTGCACCACATTTTGGAGGTGTTCACGAAGCTATGGTAAAATCGGCAAAACGAGCCCTTCGTGCCGTCCTCCAGAATGCAGATGTGACAGATGAAGAATTCCAGACAGCGTTTGTCGGAGTAGAAGGTTTGCTCAACTCTCGTCCACTCTCGTACGTGTCGTCTGATCCACGTGACGACATCCCACTGACACCAAACCACTTCCTCATAGGCATGGCTGGTGGAAGCTTTGCCCCAGATGTGGATGCGTATGATTTCAGCCCCACTCGTTTGCTTTAGCATTTTATCGCTCTACAGGTACCCTCAGTCTCAGGTACTCTCATTTGTGCAATTGTTAATTTTGCTTCTGAATTGTCCTCCCTTTTGCTTTGCTACCGTCCTCCTCCTTCCTCCACCCTTTTTCTTAATTAACCTCATTATCACATTCGCTTCCATGTAATTGGGCTCGTAGCCCGTGTGTACTTGCGAATTCAAATAAAAACACACATACATACATACTCGTCCATCCTCGGCCATGTGCTGAGGATGAGTGAGCAGTCACCCCCTTGCCTTGCGATGTCCTGCTATTTTCAAGCGGGGTCACGTGGACGAAGGGGCCGTCCCGCGGCTACTCAACCTACCACCATCATGAAGGACCTGACAGGGCACGACATCCATTTGAAGAATGCCAGCGACCTAGAAGGAGCACGAGCATTTGCTGCAGACAAGTCGAAATGGAGATCAGACATTGTTTATGGATGAGTTTTTGTTGACTGGAGACGGAAGCGGACTTGGCTTAATTTCAGTTTATTCCCATTCCACTGTTCTCTGTCCTTTGCACACGTACTGTGGTATTATTATTATTATGCGTGCTGTGGTATTATTGTGCGTGCTGTGGTATTATTATTATGCATACTTGTATTATACATACTCGTCGGTGGCGATACGTGCAGTACCTGATAAAGAACATCTGGCAACGGTGGATGAAGGAACTCGTGCCAGCTCTGAATTCCAGACAGCAGTGGCGGACACAACAGAAGAATACGAAGATTGGCGATGCTGTCGTTGTTGTCGCTTCAGCCACGCCACGCGGCCAGTGGCCCATCGGTCGCATTGTGGAGGTCATGCCAGGACCGGATGGCAATGTTAGAGTTGTGCGTGTCCAAGTGGGCTCCAAAGTCTTCACCCGACCTATCACGAGAGTTTGCCCGATCGTAGAGGAAGAATCACTGTAAGCACTGTAATGACTGAAATGTTTTGCTCAGTGCTAGTAGTAGTAGTAGTAGTAGTAGTAGTAGTAGTAGTGCTAGTAGTGCTAGTAGTAGTAGTAGTAGTAGTAGTAGTAGTAGTAGTGCTAGTAGTAGTGCTAGTAGTAGTAGATTATACAATCTCACAGCACAATGTCATTGCTTGTTGCAACAACAACTTACAGTATGTACAGTATCATAATAGCAGTTAGCAGCGTAGAGGTTGATTAACGGCGGGTTAATCAAAGAAGGGGAGGATGTTTAGAAAGAATACAGTACTTCCTACATTTACGATTATTCTTCCATGATCCTTGCATGGCGCCACTACACACTGGAGAGTACTTATACCACCACTAATTATATGTAGTCTTCATTGTTTCCAGAATACAATACTGGTGCCGCTATGCTTCATTTGCAATAGGTCCTTGTGCAGTTGTATGGACTTATCTTCACTGCAATATCAGTTTCATGCTCCAATGCTTCCTTTACAGCAGTGAGGTGTGCTGCGATTAATCAATGGCATTTCCAGCTTGCTTGCTACACTTTCACATACTCTCTTTAGCTGTTTTGCTGCCTGCTGCTTGTTTCAATAGATACCAGCTGAAGCTTCCTAGCTGGCCCCCTTGCCCTTGTTAGATTCTCTATAAGTTCTTTAGTTTGTATCTCATACGTTGTTGATTGAGTAGAGGCCTGGCTAGAGAACAGTTAGGTTTTGCTCTATGTTCATCGCTAGTTTTGTTTCGAGTTCAAACAGCTCAGATCTATGTGTGTAGACTGTGTGTGAGAACGGGGAACTAGTATTTGTGAAAGGATCGGGCTTGCGCCTTCGGAACACTGATCGTTGGTGGTAAGTGGCGTGGTGTGTACAACTGACCTGCAGGTGCTGTCATGCCGTAGAAGACCTGCTTAAATACTGCTTCTACACACTGTCATCAGTAAAGGATGTATCCAGGATTTTGTATGAATCTCAAGCGACCCCTTATACCACCCAGCCACTGTGCTGCAGATGCTGAACTCTGTTGTTCTTACAGTCTTGTACCCAAAATAGGCAACATCCTATGTACATTATAGTACAAATGCTATACTAAAAAGGTTAAAATAGCTCCTAAAGGTTCAAATTTTGGGGTTATGGCAAAGGAATCGTGATAAATAAGATAATTGACCTCGACGTCGGTCTATATGGGAAATATAGGCCTCGTAAAAGACCTCGGCTGACCTTGGTCTTTTACTCGGCCTATATTTCCCATATAGACCTCGTCTTGGTCAATACCCTATACATATCACATGATATTGTCACATGATCCATATCACATGATAATTTATGGTCACATGATCCATATCACGTGATAACTATGGTGGCTTTGTATCATAATAATACTTGTAATTATATCTCTCTGGCAAGAAAAACTTGGAATGCGCCATAGGACTCACTTATCTGGTAAAATTTCCTATTGTATTTCCCCTAAGCAATTATATGTCGCACCAATACCCCCATTTTTTTCTCGGCCACATTGTTTCAATGTGTATAGATTATTGACCAATTAGGAGGTCTTTGCGTGCTTTATAGACTGAGTATAGACCGAGGTCTCCTAGGCTTAGGTCTGGGCAGTGGCGGATAATGCTCGAAAAGGTGGCAGATTCTGCTCGACAAGGAGTGAAATTGACAAAACCATACAAACCTTATGGCGGGCAATTCCTCGAATTCTGCTCCATTTCTTTATCCACATACCAAACATGCATGAAACGTACCAGAAAAAGTACCGAATTCTGCCAATTTTTCTGCTGCCGCCATTATCCGCATATGCTTACTTAGGTCACTTACGAGGTCATTATAGCATATCTAGACCGATTATAAGGTCTTCTCCAAAAGGCATCATAGAAGCAGTCAAATCTTTTGCATATTTGACTATTAAATCGAGATTCCCGGGCGTGACCCGTGTGCTGCAGGTGAATCTTCAATTTTTATTAGTAAATTTTACTATGTGTGTATGCATTGCATTCTGGATTTTGTTTAGAGTACTTCCGGTGACGACTTTGCTGGTGGTCTGATCTACTCACCTCCCATCACTTTAGGAACTGCATCTACGCCTTAGATATTTGCAGAGTGGTGATGTTCCTATGGATGCTGAAAACTCAGTCTAATTGGGTCTGAAGCGAACCGTGACATTTCTTTCTGGTCCGTTTAAAAACAACCTTGCCTCGCATACAATAGGTAGTCGGTTTACCTGTACAATGTTCTCATACATAAAATATTACTAAATAAAATACCCTTGCATATGCAGGCTTATAATTGGTTCTCCGAAACACGGAATACCCGGAACTCATTCAGTCTCCCACGCGCTGCCTCCACCCTATTCACAAGATTCCCGATCTTTGCTGGCTAGTGGTTATGTGTTTTGGGCAACATTACCAAGACAAGCACGTCGATGGATAATTTTGTTGCTAAAATCTCTGCTCAATTGTAGGTTTCATGTATATCCTGCTGGTTTGTCTTCTCCTTTGCCTTCTTTGTCTTTTATTTGAATTCCTTTATCTGTTTTACTGCTGTGGTTGGCTTTCACCCTTGTCTCAGTTTTACTGGCCGTCATCATGATGTGCCATGAGATAATGATATAAATACAAAAAAATGTATGTGATATTTCAGTCAACGACGACCCTGAGCGTGAGTAGTACATATCAGTGAGTTGTACAGGCCCTGAGCGTGAGTAGTACTTATCGCACCCCACGTGAGTGTCTCCATGGTTTGAGCCAATCAGCGGCCTTACTGAGCGTGCATTATCACTCCCTTAGTATTGACTCACATAGATTTTTGCCATACCTAAGCAGTCAAATATACCTGCATATTTCACTCCTTAGGGCTATATTGACTGCTTATATTTGACTGCTTAGGGGTTGCGCAGTTGAACGGTGCCCAGTGCGCAGTGCAGCATTGTCAACAGCATTGTCATTGTGCAACGGTTGTGCAATCATAAAACCGGGATTCATGAGGTTATCGTTTTGGAATTTGAAATACGGACTGTTTGTCGTGATAAATCTAATATTGACTTCGTACTTGGTCAGTATAGGAAATAAAAACCTCGTAAAAGACCTCAGCTTCGCCTCGGTCTTTTACTCGGCTTTTATTTCCTATATTGACCTCGTACTCAGTCAATATTAGATACATATTCCCCAGTACACCGCCAGCCAATGTGGATGCACTGCAGTGCGATATTGCACCCCGGCGAGTGAGCGTGCAAATAACCTATATTTGCACGCTCACTTCGAAGCGAGCGTGCAAATATAGGTTATTTGCACGCTCGCTTCGAAGTGAGCGTGCAGATAATTATAGGTTATTTGCACGCTCACTCGCCGGGGTTCAATATCGCACTGCAGTGCATCCACATAGTCATTGGCTGGCGGTGTACTGGGGGGAGTCGCTCCGCCAGGGAGTTGCTGCTGACTTGCTGCAGCACACCAAAATTAATGTGGAAGAGAAAAATACATATGGATATGAGTTAAGAGTAACTCTCCATCACTGTAACATGATACTATATACAGTCAGAAAGTGCAATAACTAGGCACAAAACTGACAGAGTACTGAAACATTCGACGTCCTGACACCTAGCTTTAACGCATCTCCGTAGCGCTAACCGACAGCCTTCCAACTTGGAAGGTTCAAGGTTATGGAAAAGACCAAAGAGGGGAAGGCAAGCGCAACGAAAACGAGCAAAAGCCACAGTCCCAACGGAACAAAGAATGTCGATTGTTACTGGACGATGACGAGACCAGTACGATATTTGACAAAGCGGTCTAACTACAATTCGAAGCAGCAAAGCAGCACACCACCCAACTTGGGTGGGTCATAAATATCAAAGATAAGTAAAGAAAGGGAAGCTTTGCGAAAACGAATTGTACAAGCCGAAAGCCAAACTCCTACAGTACTCCTCATGCATGACATTGTGATGGACTAGTTGACTACAAAACAAGTTGTTTCACACGACGTACGTTTCGCCGTATGGTTCGTGACGGCTCATCAGGTGTGCAATTTGAAACTCGGATGTTGAGCCATAAATA